AATCCTTGGATTTGCAATTTGAATCCTGCGTGGTGCTACATTCTGGTAATTGCAAGATAGGTAGAAGTTTGTTCATAGTCAAATATGGAGAAGAACGAAGATAAGATGTTTCGAATTAGAGTTGCTAAGGAACTAACCAATTTGGGACAAATTTTCGAATATGTGCAGGCAAAGGAGCAACTGCCATCAGGGAACTTATTGAATGATTTAGAGAGCCTAAGTGGGAAATATGACACAGTTGTATGCCTTGACGTTCTGATACATTATCCTCAGAACAAAGCAGATGGAATGATCGCACACCTCGCTTTTTTAGCAGAGAAGAGAGTGATTCTGAGTTTTGCGCCTAAGACTTTTTACTATGATATCTTAAAGAGAATTGGAGAGCTTAAGGCTACGAGGGCTTATCTACACGCAGAGGCAGATGTAGAACAAGCTTTGCGTAAGAGAGGACTCACCACCACCCAGTTTTACTTTTCTAGGCTCATCGAAGCTGTTCCAATCTCGACCACTTAAAAACTAGGTCGGCTTTTGGAAAAAGATTCTTATTCTTCCCTCTTATCTGTTGTAGCAATGACTATGAACTATGCAGTCAAATGCATTGACATGTATTATCACAGAGCATTTGATTTGTTCTTGGGATCAAGAATTTATGAGGAAGAAAGGTTAAATACTTTTGTTATGGATCCATGAATGTCATAAGCAGTTGATAGGAACCGAGGGCAACTATGGTTTTGTCACTTTATATCATCTATGCGGCCATTCTCATACTGTGAGATGGGATGAACTTGGTCTGATGTCGCTGCAGTGACACAAAGGCTTCTTCTTCACTGGTAGTGTCGGGACCAATGTGGCTTGGACATTGATTAGAAAGACGCATTTTGATCCTTCTACGTTTTTTCTTTTACCATATGCGATTTTATGTTTCAGTTTATTTTTACGGATTGTAATATACGATTTAAAATTTTATGAAACATAATAAATTAGTGTTTTTATAAAATCTTGTATATTTAAATATACTA